ACATAAAATATGTTTTTAATAAATAAATTGTTTAACCTGTCCATTTTTAATATATATATATATATATATATATATATCGGGCACGTGCCGTCAGTAATTATTCAGGGTAGGCAGGTTGTGACCTTTATGTATTAAATCTACAAAAAATAAAATATTTTACATTTTATGCATGATAATCAGAGTAACCTTCATAATTTTGTTGGATTAGGTGCATGCTGTGACATAATAAGAAAATGAAGGTGCTGATCTATTTTATTCAGGGTAGGCACTGTTTACCTTGCCTACGTAGATAGCACGTCCCTGACAGATTCACACACAAACATATATATATATATATATATATATATATATATATATATATATATATATGAATATGCGCGTAGAAGCGAAGATTTAAATTAATCTTCAGCATGGATCTACAGATTTTAATAATATTTATTTAGAAGTATTATTTTCCTTTCAAATCGAAAGAAATGAAATTTCAAATATAGTTTGTGAGCAACGTTACACGAAAATGTTTTGTGCATCCTTTTTTAACAGTACAACTGAATCAATTGAATACTAACTCAATAGGTTAAACGATTAATGTGTTTATATGTGTACAGGTATGTGTGTGTTTATGAGACCGATCTAATGTGTATGAATTCTGATTGCAGATCTTATGACCTAGATGCTACTGTTGCGTGAGTGCGCATGTATTTGTAACAATTTTACGTTGTCTACCCCGTGTGTATACATTCTAGTTGTAGACTGTAGAAAAGGAGTGGAAAACTAATCGCTAATGTTGCAACATATAAACAAGTTTACGGAATATCGTTGCTAAACGTAATTTTTGTAATGTTGAAACCACGAAATAAATAAGCGAAAGATATGTGTAATTACTGTTGAGAATTTCTATTCCATTTGTGTGACAATCGATGGAACACTCCGATCAAGTTTAACTGAAAGACTAATTTTGCAAGCGACATGTTTTGATATTTTGAAAAAAAATGTGAATAAGACCGGCTCCGAAAGAAATTAAAGTTTAATTTTTTAAAAAGAGATTATTAAAATATTCCTAATTTAAATATCCCCTTTAAGGAAGAATAAACATTGATGCTATATTCTGAAATAGATCCTCTAAAATTTCGAATCTAAGATATTTTACCATCTGCTAATTCAAAGAATACCACATGTCTCGTCCGACATCGCTGGTTGGTTAATATATATCCATACAAAGATTCAAATATTTTGAGTCGGAAAAATACAAAAAATTCTGTGTGATGAATTTTCAGTATTTAAATCTATTAGTATTTTTCTATAATTCTAAAACGGGACTCCATATCTCTCTCTCTGTCTCTCTCTGTCTCTCTCTCTCTCTCTCTCTCTCTCTCTATATATATATATATATATATATATATATATATATAATTGTAACATTTGCATTTTTTGTAGTGATGTTATAATATGCATGCTATAATTTTGAATAAATATTATTTGGTCTACTCGGTATTGAGCACTCTTTGTGTTTTTGGCTATGAATTTTATTCCATCTGTACCAACCCTGTACTTGGTTATATATATATATATATATATGTGTGTGTGTGTGTGTGTGTGTGTGTGTGTGTGCGTGCGTGTATCTCCACAGAAACGCAATACCTCAGGTTTAAAATGAATTTTTAAAAATAGAAATCTTTCTTGAAGCTTTCATTTCTGTTTTAATTTTACGCTAATCGATTTAATTTAATATTTCCAATAAACAAAATACTTTACTGTATTTCAAAACTAATTTAAATTGACTGAAAAAGTTTGTTTTCAAAACGCTAATACCCGCTGATTTTAGCGCCATTTTAGCAATCTGTTATCACAATGTGATTCTCTTTATTAAAAAAATCGTTCAAAAATAAAATATACGTTCCTGAAACTTCATTTAAGGAATATTGGCTGATTTGAAGTTTAATTAACCTGATTTGAAACAGATATTAAACACTTTAAATTTAAAATATAGCATAAATGAAATTTTAACATGGCTGTAAGATATTTAAGATGTTGACAGGTTGACAGTTTTATTGAAAGATGGAAGTTTATCTAATCTTTTCTACGGTGCAAATATTGTGTAAAAATTACTTGAGAAATATAACATGAACGGCTTTCTATATAATTTTTTACTACCCAGTAATCCTTAAAATTTAGGAAAATATTCTCCATGTTTTATTGAATTTATTTACTTTGGCTTTAAATTTACTGTAGTTATCGTCCTTATTTTCTGATAATATCGTATATGGACGTCCGTATTTACAAAAATCTGCACGTTTATACATACAAAAACTTCTAAATTCTTTTTAAAATATTGATGTCGATGAATTGTAGTAAGCTTTCCATTCAAGATTAGTAAATGTAGATTTTACTTAATAACAATATCATCTAACTGGTACAAATTAATACAGAAATATTAAAGATTTAAGACTTTATAAATTATTATAATTAAAATTTTAAAATATGAAAATAAATCTTGTAAAATTACATTATTTATCAAAAACATTTTTCTTAGTGTTCATAATATATTTATTCATAAAGCAATTAAAAGCTTTTCTAAATAAATAATGTCTTAATTTGCATTATTTATTTTACGATTCAGAGCAGATTTTCGGTAACTAGTTTTCTCGTTTTACAAAACAATTATGATTTAAATTCTCCAAGGAATTCTATTTCTGTTAGTATAAACATTAAGCTCTACAAAATTTAATTTCTCGAAATTCCATAAAAT